ATGACAATCGGCACATGGAATGTGCGTACCCTACTTGACCTAACAGACAATGAAAGGCCCCATCGACGAACTGCCATCATTGCACACGAATTGAAGAGATATGGAATTGACATCGCAGCACTAAGTGAGACCCGTCTCTCTGAAGAGGGTTCACTTACAGAAGTAGGGGAAGGCTACACCTTCTTCTGGAAAGGCCTACCAGAAGGAGTACAACGTAATTATGGTGTAGCCTTTGCTGTCAAAACATCAATGCTGTCATCAATTCCACAGAGCCCGATAGGAGTAAGTGAACGCCTTATGAGTTGGCGTATACCATTAACAAATAGCCGGTACGCAACTCTGATTAGTGCTTATGCTCCCACACTGGATGCAGAAGAATCAAAAGATCGGTTCTACTCACAGCTTCACACCTTATTTCAATCAATTCCCCATGATGACAAAATCATACTCCTAGGTGATTTTAATGCAAGAGTTGGTCGTAATCACCAGCTTTGGCAGGTGATCATGGGACGACATGGGGTTGGAAAATGCAATGATAATGGACTACGCCTGCTGACCTTCTGTTCCCAGCATAGTCTAGTTATCACTAATACTTGCTTCCAACTCCGTGATATGTTCAAGACAACTTGGATGCACCCAAGATCAAAAACATGGCATATCCTAGACTATGCTATTGTTAGGCGCAAAGACCTGCGTGATGTTGTGATTACCAGAGCCATGAGAGGGGCTGATGGATGGACTGACCATCGCCTTGTCCGAACTACCATGAAGCTCTGTATACGTCCTCCTGCACGGCGCCAACCACCGCTTTCCAGGTTAAATCTCAACTCCCTAAACGACCCAGTTAAAAGAAACTCTTTTCAAGAAATTGTAGGAACACGTCTATCAGATCCCAATCAACCTGTCTTTCCTCCAACACAAGAAGGTCTGAACCAGAATTGGGACCATGTGAGCAACATACTTCTCGACTCGGCAACATCTATCCTCGGCACCACCAAGAGGAAGCATAGAGACTGGTTCGACGAGCAAGCACCAGATATTCACAACCTACTAGAAGAAAAAAACAAAGCTCACCAAGCAGCTATTAACAACCCAAATGCTACAACAAGCGCAACCTTTGCAGAAGCTAGGTCCAAAGTTCAGCATATGACAAGATCAATGCAAAATGAGTGGTGGTTTAAAATTAGCAGGGGAAATTCAAGGATTTGCTGATATAGGGAACCAGCAAGAATTCTATAGTGCCATAAAAAGAGCATATGGCCCACAGAGAACTGCAACTTGCCCCATTAGAAGTGCAGACGGGTCCAAACTCATCACTGATAAAAAAGAAATACTGGACCGCTGGGCCGAGCACTACCAACACCTTCTAAACAGAAGCAACCCCTCTGACCCCACTGTCTTTGAAAATCTCCCTGAATTTCCCACAATTCCAGAATTGGATAACATGCCCACACGCCAAGAAGTGCATATGGCAATAATCAGCCTAAAAAACAACAAGGCTGCTGGTCCTGATGGCATACCTGCTGAAATCCTGAAGCATGGAGGAAATGCCATCCTAGACTCTCTGCATGACATCTTCCAGAAAGTCTGGGCCTCCAGTTGCTGTCCACAAAAATGGAAAGATGCAGACATCGTGAGCATCTTCAAAAAGAAAGGAGACAGGGCTGTGTGCGGAAATAGCAGAGCATCTCCCTTCTTGCGACCTCGGTAAGGTGCTTACCAGGATACTCCTCTCCAGGCTTCTTGCCCATATCACTGAGGGAGTCCTGCCGGAATCGCAGAGTGGCTTCAGAAAAGAACGAAGCACTGTAGACATGGTGTTTATTGCTAGGCAACTCCAGGAAAAGGCCATTGAACAACAGCAAGATCTCTACATGGTCTTCGTTGACCTAGCCAAAGCATTCGACACTGTCAACAGAACTCTGCTCTGGGAAATACTAAGAAAATTTGGCTGCCCCCCCCACTTTCCTGGCAGTACTTAAATCATTCCATGATGGTTCAAAGGCTAGAGTGACAAGTGGTGGCTCTAAGTCAGATCCTTTCTTTGTGGGTACTGGCATAAAACAGGGATGTGTCATGACAATTGCCAAGCAGAACATAAATCCTGCAGACGGTGTTCAAATATCTTACCGGCTAGATGGCAACCTGTTTAACCTACGGCGATTACAAGCCAAAACACTTGTCACTGTGGAAGCATTCACGAAACTGCAGTGCAGATGACACAGCCTTCGTCAGCTCTTCCCCGGATGGGCTCCAACGTACAATTAATGCTGTAGCTGAAGCATACTCGCGCTCAGGTTAGCCATCAACACTGGTAAAACTGAAGTCCTCAATATGTGTCAACCTCCTATCCCTGCACTCCTTATCAACCAACAACCTCTAAAAAATGTAGAAGAGTTCACCTACTTGGGATCTGTATTAAGTAACACAAATGATCTCTCAAGTGAAGTGCAACGGCGCATTGGTCTGGCTTCGGCATCTTTTGGTAGGCTATCTCACA